ATTTGAATAAAATATCCAATCTTATTGGTTATGATGTTAATTTAAATTCTATATCTATACCCAGTGGTCGAAGTGGCTTAGAATAAGTGGAGGATGCCTAAATTTTCAGTTTTTTTAATTATTATTGTTTAGTTGGTTTACATACAGCAGGTGATCGGAGGTGAAGATAAGCTGTACCCCCTATACCTTATTTATTATACAATTTTTTGTATATTAATATTCATTTTTGATTTTTTCAGTTTGGTGATTTAATTGTTGATATATTTAAATTTTTATATACATATAATTATAATTTTATTTAAAACATAAGACACATTTGCAGGTATATATAATTTATCTATGTACAGTTTATCAATAAATTCTAATAGTATGCATTATAATATACAGCATGACAAAATAGATCTATTTACATAGATCTATTTTGTCATGATATACAGTAGGTGAAAAAACAAAAAAGTAACTTAACTTTTCTATACATTACTATTGAGTATAGGTAGTCTATAGCCTATAATAACATGTTAATAACTTTTTACGTACCAGTAGCTGATTGTGTCTTTTCTTTTTGGGAGGAACAACTCTTCTCCCCGTGGTTTGATCCAGACCTATTCCCGTGGTTGGTTTGAGACCTATCCACGTGGATAGATCGTGACCTATCCACGTGGATAGATCGTGACCTATCCCTGTGGGTAGATCGAGACCTATCCCACTCCCGGCGCGGCTGGGGATTACGCCTCGATCTTACCCGACGAGGAGCAGCTGAAACATAGATTAATTAATAAACACTAAAAGACCTGATTAGTCATACAATTAACAAAAAATAATATCTACTTACCATCCGGACGCCACCAGCATACCTTGGCCTTATGTCCAGATTTATGACACACATAACATTCTGTAATAAATTACGATATTAATATTTGAATCTATTTATATTATGTAAACTGAACATTGAAAAAATGATTTGACTTACTCAAGACGTTGGCTTTTCGGCCTTGGGTAGGCTGTGGCTCTTTAATCGGCTTTAACGCGCCTATTTGCTTCGCAACAATAGCAGCAACAGTATTTTCAAGCCAAGACTGTTGCTGCTGTGGACATTTAGCTTTTGAAGTACAAAAAGTACAATTACAGTTTATCATGTTCCACATCTGAAATAATTATATTAATTATAAAACCTAAGAACCAACGTTGTAGTATAATAATTAATAATTTATTAGTTATTCTCATGATTGAAAAACCACCTGTTTTCTTATTGATGATTTTCATATCACGTCTTAGAAATCACTGTCCAATCTTTTTAAAAAAAATAAAATAGTGTTACTATAATATTAAAACTAAAAAAAAATGTTTGTATAGGTATTTTATGTAGCGGGCGAATTGCCAAGTACACATGGCTATACGTTTTCTGTACTTTAACTATAGGAACTTCTAATTTTCAGTTTTCATAATTTCGTATAAATTGTGCATACCTATTATATTATTACTTAAATTACAAAAATTCGAACATTATCTTATTAGGATTATCTTTTGTATTAACTAATAGAAAAATAATAGGTAATACGTAATATTATATTATACTACATATTATATAGGCATAGGCGCGTTTACGGGGATATTACTTAGCGGCGTAGTAAAATTGGCGTATTTATTTTATTATGATGTTTATATTATAATCTGATAATAAATAATATATTAATATTATGTCCCTGGAGATCAAGAAAATTAAAAATTGTATTAGTCGTGATAGTGTAATTAAATAAGAAATATATTTGTGTGCTCTATAACATCAATTGGCAATTTTACTCATTTAACAAAAACTATCAACGGACATTAACAGGTTAATAATACATCCATGGTTTATTTTAAAATTAAAATTATCTAGCCCTCATCGTCTCATGTACCTACGCACACCTCTACGGAAAACCCACGTGTTTATATTAAGTTGATTTCAAATGAAAGACTCGCCACACACGCCTATGATATATCTAGCAAACTGCAAAGCTCCTACCAGGAACCTTAAAGGTACGGTTTCCCTGCAGCGTCTGGACGCGGCGTCTAGCGTCACTAC